CCCCTCACCCCCCCATGCAGCGCCGGGCGAACTCCGCTCCAGCTTGTCGAAGTTGGCGGCGGGCTGCGCGGGCCGTTACCTCGGCTTGGGGAGAGGTCCGGGGTCCCCGGCCCGCAGCTGCCGGCTGCTCCAGGCTGTACCACCGCCTCGGCGCGCGGCCCCTCCGGCCTGTCCCGCCCCGCCGCCCCGCCGCCCCGGCGGGGGAGGAGCCGCGACCCCGCCCCGTCCAGCCCCGCCCCAGCGGGACAGCCCCGGGGTCCCCGCCCCGAGGCCTTGGCCGCTGAGTGACTCCACGCAGGGGTCAGCTGACCCGCCCCCTCACGGCCTTTGTCAGGGTGGGGGTGGCAGTGTTGGGGTGGGGGCCAGAGAGAGGAAGGAAGTGAGTCTGGGTCATCTGTGCGCCCACAACTACCCACTCCAGCAATGGGGCGCCCCACAACCTTGGTCCTTACAGAAACCACGTGGGGAGCTTGTTGGCTGTTCAGAACCCAGGCCCACCCCGAGGCAGATTCAGCAGCCCTGGGAGGGGCTCGGGGATCTGCGATTTAGACAAGTGCCAAGTGATCCTGGTGCAGAGTTCGCGGGCTCCACTGCCAGAAACTCTGCTTTGCAGGGATGGAGAACTGATTTTGGAAGGTGGCTTGAGGGGACGGGGGTGGGGGTGGGGGGATCCCAGGAAGTCTGCACTGGGGAGTTCTGGATATCTTATTTTTGCATCATTCATTCACTCACCACATTCTAGGTTAAGCACCCGTTATGCAGCTGGGCTGTCCTGTACCCGGAAGGATGGCTGCCCACTCTTTGATTCATATTTACTGAGCACGTGTGCCCGCCTGGTATGGTCTGAGCACTCTGCCTGGATTCGTAGCTCATTTAATCCCTACGCAACACTAAGGATGGACATACCCAGGCTTACCTGGGCCTGAAACTCAGGGGCCTCTCAGCCTACTGCCCTTTCTATCACGGGTCCGTAGCTTTTTTTTTTTTTTTAAATCTCTTCCCAGGCATGTAGGAGGAGGAAAGACACACTGTGATCTTGGTTATAGAAGAGAAGTTGGCTGTAGGGAAGTGAGTTCGGCCATCCATGGGCCTGGATCTAAGCTCTTGGGGAGGGCGCTTCCGTTTAGGTCATGAGGGACTGGAGCAGGTATGTATGTGAGGCCCCTGGAGACTGGCTGTACCTGTGGGTGGGGCTCATTGTCATGGCTGAAGGGGTCCAAGTGTCCAGCTCAGGGCAACTCCCACAGCAGCTGAGCCCCTTCACGCCTGGCTTCCTTCTGTGGCTTGGCCCTCTAAGCTTTCCTTCCCCACCTACAAGATGGGCTGGGAGTGGTGCAGGGTCATACATTGTCTGGGAGTGAGGCAAGTTTAAGTCCCAGCTCCGCCTCTGTTCTTTGGATTTTGGTTTCTTTCTTTTTTAATTCTCACCCGAGGTTGTGGGGGAGGTAGAACCCTCCCCCAAGGATATTTTTTCCATTGATTTCCAGAGAGACTGGAAGGGAGGGAGGAGGGGGAGAGAGAGAAACATCAACGTGAGAGAGGCACATTGATTGGTTGCCTCCCGCAGGTGCTCCCACGGGGGCTGGGGGACCCGCAACTGAGTGCCTGCCCTTGACTGGAATCAAACCCTCTACTCTTTGCCAGTGCTCTAACCACCGAGCCCCGCCAGGGCTGGATTTCCGTTTCTTTATTTAAAACTCAAATCTCCAAATATTTGGTGACAGATGATTTGACTTTGTGTGGTAGACACACAATGCAATATACAGATCGTGTATCATAGAAATGTATACTTGAAGCTTATATGATCCTATTAACCAACGTCACCCCAATAAATTTAATAAAAAAAAAATTAAAGCCCTAGCCGGTTTTGCTCAGTGGATAGAGTGTCAGCCTTCGGACTGAAGAGTCCCGGATTCAATTCTGGTCAAGGAAGGACACATGCCCGGGTTGCAGGCTCAATCCCCACTAGGGGGCGTGCAGGAGGCAGCCGATCAGTGAGTCGCTCTCATCATTGATGTTTCTATCTCTCCCTCTCCCTTTCTCTCTGAAATCAATAAAAAATATATACAAAATAAATTAAAAAATAAAACTGAAATCTAAACAGGTTACACCTTTGCTACAAAACTTCCAGTGTCTACAATAGAAAAGCCTGAACTCAGTACTCAAGGCCCATGGTAAATACTGGTAAAAGCAGGGCAAGGGGTTAGCGTAGTGGTGCAGGTGGGGTGGTGGGAGAGGTGAAAGGTCTCGAAAAAGTTTAAAAATTTGTTATTTCAAATGTACATGACAGTGAAAGAATAATATAAGAAACAACACGAGCTGTTGAAAAACATTGTATTATGGGAAAATGTAAACATGCAAACATACAGAATAATGTAATGATGTGAGTTTTAAAAAGAATGCAGGGTCATTTCCAATCTCCTCTCAACACATTCCTTGCTCTGGCCGTGCCCCACCCTCCCAGGCACATTATGTTTCTTCTGCCTGGAATACTTTCCTCTCCTCATCTTTCAAGATGCAACTCAGATGCCTGTGTACCAGACACTGTTCTAAGCTCTGCACACATATGACCTATCTCCGGGGTTCTCACACGTTAGCAATATACTCGAATCAGTCGGAGGGCTTAAGCCACCGCCTGCTGAGACCACTCCCGAGCTTTTGATTCAGTAGGTTTGCGTGGAGCAGTGGTTCTCAACCTTCCTAATGCCCCAACCCTTTAATACAGTTCCTCATGTCGTGGTGACCCCCAACCATAAAATTATTTTCGTTGCGACTTCATAACTGTAATGTTGCTACTGTTATGAATCGTCATGTAAATATCTGATATGCAGGATGCATTTTCATTGTTACAAATTGAACATAAAGCATAGTGATTAATCACAAAAACAATATGTAATTATATATGTGTTTTCCGATGGTCTTAGGAGACCCCTGTGAAAGGGTCGTTCGACCCCCAAATTTTCGCTTTTAACAAGCCCCAGGTGTTTCTTGCTGCTGCTTGCTGGCCTGGGTGCCACACTTTGTATTATTATTATTATTTTAAATATATTTTTATTACTTTCAGAGAGGAAGAGAGAGATAGAAACATTAATACGGAGAATCATTGATTGGCTGCCTTTTGCACGCCCCACACTGGGGATGGAGCCTGCAACCTGGGCATGTGCCCTGACCGGGAGTTGAACTGTGACCTCCAGGTTCATAGGTCGACGCTGAACCACTGCGCCACACCAGCCGGGCCACACTTTGTATTATTTTGTTTAATCTTCTAAATGAGCTAGGTAACAATTACTCTCTGTTTGGGGGGAACTATTACTCTTCTCATTTCCTGCATAGGCCTGAATACGTGCTGTTTGGACAGCTCAGTGGGTTCTGGTTTTACCTCCTTGGCTTCAGGAAAGGAATCCTCCACGTATTTAGCTTTGCAAGGGGGGCTTGCGATCGTTTCCTAGAATCTAGGACCTAGATGATAGCCTGGGGCTCAGAGAGGCTAAGTGACTTGTCCAAGGTACCACAGCAATTAGAGGGAGTTGCTGGCATTGAAGCAGGTCTCTCTGAAGCCAAGGCTTTCCCTACCCTCTCAGGTGGGGAAGCTGTCCAGTTTCTGACCCCAGACATTGCTTCAGGAGATTCTGTCCCCAGTTTCAGAGCTCAGCAACCTCTGGAAGTGTGTCCAGCCAGTTCCCCACAGAGCTGGCTGAGATCCAGCTGCATCCTGGAGACCACAGGCCTCAGACTCCCACTTAAGTCTCCTGCTGCCCACGCTCCTGCCTTGATCTGCAGTTGAATAAAGGCTGGGCCCCAGGCAGCCAGGTTTGGTGGGCTTGGCTCCTCTCCTCTTGTGTTCTCTCCCCAGTGGCCTCCCAGAAGCCCTGTGGCCATGACACAGCTGCTTCTGCTCATTGTGTTTCTCCTGGTCCTGGGTCATGTGCCTCCAGGTAACATCGTGTGTGTGTGTGTGTGTGTGTGTGTGTGTGTGTGTGTGTGTGTAGAAACAAGGAGAAGGGTCTCACCTCCTGGGGAAGAGAGGAGGCCTGGACCAATGTTTAAATTCTGGCCCCATCACTGGCTTTCTGAGCAGCTTAGAATGGGCTGCTAGATCAGCCTGCACCTCAGTTTCCTAATCTTTAAAATGGGATTCACTCAACAAATGTTCATTTGAAAAGTATTTACTGTTGTGCCAGGCACTAGTACAATTTGCTGGTGGATCCAGTAGTGAAGAGAAAGCAAGGGTCCTTTGCTTTCATGGAGTTGGATATTTTAGTTAGTGGAGACAGAAAAGAACCAAATAAACATATACTCTTTCAGGTGGTCACAAGGGCTAAGAAGAATAAACGCAGGGCAGAGGGTTAGTGTGGTGTGTGCATGGGGTGGTGGGAGAGCTGAAAGGCCTCTGATAAGTTCTTTTAAAAAAATATATATTTTGCCGAAACCGGTTTGGCTCAGTGGATAGAGCCTCGGCCTGCGGACTGAGAGGTCCCGGGTTCGAATCCGGTCAAGGGCATGTACCTGGGTTGCGGGCACATCCCCAGTGGGAGATGTGCAGGAGGCAGCTGGTCGATGTTTCTCTCTCATCGATGTTTCTAACTGTTTATCTCTCTCCCTGCTATCTGTAAAAAAATCAATAAAATATACTAGAAAAAATATATATATATTATATTGATTTTTTCACAGAGAGGAAGGGAGAGGATAGAGAATCAGAAACATCAATGAGAGAGAAACATCGACCAGCTGCCTCCTGCACACCTCCCACTGCGGACGAGCCCGCAACCAAGACACATACCCTTGACCGGAATCGAACCCAGGACCCTTCAGTCCCCAGGCCGACGCTCTATCCACTGAGCCAAACCGATCAGGGCTGATAAGTTCTTTTTTAAGTTTTTAGTTCAAATGTACCTGAAAGTAGACAGAATGATATAAGGAACAAGTGAGCTTTAAAAAACCTTTTATTATGGAAAAAGGTAAACATGCAAAAATAGAGAAAAACATAATGATGTGAGTTTTTTTAAAAAAAAATTATTTTATTTGAGAAAACTTCAAACCTAAATTTAAAAATATGGTATAGAAAACTCCCCGTATCCATTACCCAACCTCAACAATTATCAGCTTGAACCAATCCTGTTTTGTTGTTCACTTGCCCCTTCTGCCCAGTGAATTATTTTGAAGTAAATTTCAGATCTCTTATCATTTTATATAAGGTAGGTTTGAGCAATGATCTGACTACAGTGAGAATACAGCAGGTTCTGATTAACGTTGTTTGGTTATAAGGCTGATGAGGTGCTGTGGGAACTTAACTCTTGTATATATCAATTAGCCCTTGGTAAACTTGATGTCTTTATACATTTCATTTAAAGTCACAGAACCTATTGATGATGTTAAGTGAGGACTTATTATATAGGGATGATCATCCCAGACAGAGGGAGCAGCAAGGATGAAGGAGGCAGGAGGGTGATAGATGATAGATAGATAGATAGATAGATGATAGATAGATAGATAGATAGATAGATAGATAGATAGATAGACAGACATGTTTCAGGAGCAGCGAGGAGGCCAGTGTGGCTGGAGTGGGGAGCACAAGAAGAAAAGTGGAGGGAGATGAAGTCAAAGGAAGGGATAGCAGATCATGTAGGAGAAAATAGTGGCTGTATCTCAGGGTGGTTGGAAGGTTGAAATGTGATTAACAGTAGTTGTTGTAGGAACTGCCTTCAGCTGGGAGTCAGGGTCTTGGGTTCCGGTACCAGCCCCATCACTTACTGGGCCAGAGAAGTTGGGCAAGTCCCTTCCTTTCTTTATCTGTAAAATGAGAGGGTTGGCCTGAGCCTTGGTTGCTTCAACTCGCTAAGCTGTCATTCTGATGAAATCACTTGCCATTCATTGAGATTTACTCCCTGCCGGCCACTGTGCTAAAATGATTAAAGCCCCTCTCACTGCCCTCTGAAGGAGGGATGTACAGATGAGGAACCTGAGGCCCAGGCCACGCGGCTGGGAAATGGCAGAGCTGGAATTTGGACTCAGGGGGTCTGAGCTGGGTGCACACCACCCCGTTAATCAGGATACTGCAGACCCTCTTCAGCCTGTGGGTTCTCTGCCTCAGGGAGATTTTGAGATCAGCTCTGTATCATGCTAAGTTCTCTACCGTGGCAAGATAAAGGATGGGCCGGTTGACAGGCTGAAGAACACCCACGGGTATCATGTGAAGATTCTGTGGACTCCCTTTTAACTCAGGGAGAGGCACTTCTCCCCCCGCCCCCTCCCATTCAGCCCCAGTTCTTCTGAGTTGCTGGGTTGTATGTGTAGAAATATCGCTGTAACAGACAGGCCTTGTAGAAGTGCTCCTCCTCCCTCCCCACGTTCCCACACCCGCCCTAATGGGCAATTCGGCACCCATTACTTCCTTCCGGGCACTTACCACCTCTACAGCCACTGCCTCATGTTTGCTGAATGAATAATAAATGCAGATGCTTCCCCACCGCCTGCTGTGACCAAAGACCCTCAGAGAAGGTACAGGTCCTAGGCCCCCAAAGCCTTACCATTTACGAAAATTCTTCCACTAAATTTTAATGTTAAACAGGTCCGTTAAGTGTGTGAGGCAGGTAATGTTAAGGCTATGCGTTTGGATTCTGGAGCCGATAGCTTGAGGTTGAATCCTCACCCTGCTCCTTAATGGCCATGTAACCGTGGGAAAAGTTGTTAATCTTTCTGTGCCTCAGTTTCCTTAAATGTATAACAGGGGTTGTTATACAGTTAATGAAAGACCAACTACAATAATAGAGTGTTATTTTGAAAAATGCTTAGAGTGTACCTGGAGTATGGATTAATCTGGACAAGAAATTGGTCTCTAACTTATAACCAGTGGTCTAACGTGTGACCTGTGGTCTAACCTGAACTGAGATCTGTGGTCTAGATTGTAATTAGTTGTCTCTGGTAGTCTAGCCTGTTCCTCTAGAGCAGGGGTCCTCAAACTACGGCCCGCGGGCCACATGCAAATACAAATATTGTATCTGTTCCCATTTTGTTTTTTTACTTCAAAATAAGATATGTGCAGTGTGCATAGGAATTTGTTCATAGTTTTTTTTAAAACTATAGTCCGGCCCTCCAACGGTCTGAGGGACAGTGAACTGGCCGCCCCCTGTTTAAAAAGTTTGAGGACCCCTGCTCTAGAGTCTAGTCTAACCCTTGACCTGTGGTCAGAGCTCATGTACTGTGGCCTAACTTATGACCTGTGGACTGCTCTATGACCAGTCATCTAACACATAACTAGAAAGCGAACTGGTAGCTTATGATCTAACCTGGGCCTGTGGGCTAACTTGTGGTCAGTGGTCTAACCCGTGACCTGTGGCCTCACCTCTGATCCGTGGTTATATATGTTAACAGTGGCCTAACCTGTGACCCCCGGGCTATCCTGTGACCTGTGGTCTTCCTCTACACAGGGAGAAGCGAATTCAAACGGTGCTGGAATGGCCAAGGAGCCTGCCGGACTTACTGCACCAAGTATGAAACCTTCATGCACCTGTGCCCAGATGCCTCCCTGTGCTGTATCCCCTATGGACTCAAGCCTGCAGTGCCCCATAAGCCAGAGAATGAGTAGCTGGTTCTGGGGCTGGCACACTTGCTCTTCATAAAATACATGCTGCCCATCGTCTCCTCTTGCTTCTTGCTCACCACCCTCTACCCCCACCTCCTCCAGGGCTGGGGAGGGGAGAGAGGGGCGGTCCGTGATATAGAAGAGATGGTGGATGGTTGGTCGAGGGAGTGAAGTGCCCGAGGAGAGCGGGCATTAATGACCATTGGAAATGGCTCCGGTCTTGCCTGTATCACATTTGCTCTGTCCAACTTGGGGAAAAATTGCTCAATTTCCCTCAGCCTCCCCAGTCTCCTTATCCATAAAGCAGGGATAATTATCATATCAGGAGATTAGAACTTTATAGAAGGAATGCAAGAAGAAAGGCAGAGTTCATAATAGGAGTTAATTGTAATAATCACAAGAATTATCAAGAAAGTGAGTTAATTATATTAAGAATTAATAATAGAGTTAAAGCCACATTTCTGGCATGCAGAACGAGGTGGTGCATTAGGCCTGAAAGGTAGGTCCTACTGAGAGTGAAAGGACTTTTCTATGTTCCTTTATCTCCTGTCTTAGCATTTTAAGAGCCTGCCCAGGTAGAAAATAAGGATTTGATGAAAGCAAAGTTTTCATATAAACAGGGAGGAGGAATGGAGGAACACTGCCCTCCTAGGCCCAGGGAACTGTGGGGACAGCGAACCAGGGAGATGCCTGAGCAGAGTCGGGGAGGTGGGTAGACAGACACGCATTCTAATCTTCCTGTATCAGGATTGAGTTGGGCTGAAAAAACAGAAAACTCAATTTTCAGGAACTACTTTTTCTCACGTAAAAAATCTGGAGGAGGAGCCCTGGCTGGGTGGCTCCATTAGTTGGAGCACTGTCCCCTACACCAAAGGCTGAAGGTTCAATTCCTAGTTAGGGCGCATACCTAAGCTGCAGGTTCAATCCCAGTATGGGAGGCAACCGATAGATTCTTCTCTCTCTCTCTCTCTCTCTCTCTTCCTCTTTCTAAAACATATCTTCATGTGAGGATTTTAAAAGAAAATCTGGAGGTAGGTAGCAACCATGTCAGGGCAAGCATCTCTGGGGTCCTCTTGGGTCACATAACTTCAGGCCTCATATCATTGTTTAACTTTAAAGCAAGAAGTCTGGGGAGGGTTGGCATGGGCTAGTCTCTCACTTTTATCAGGAAAACGAAAACTTGCCCTGGAAGCTCCCTCACAGACTTCTCCTTACCTTTCACGGGCCAGCCTGGGTCACATGGCTGCTCCTGATGCAGCGAAGGCCGGGGAGGAAGTGTTTAGCTCAGCGGTTCTCAACCTGTGGGTCGTGACCCCTTTGGCGGTCGAGCGACCCTTTCACAGGGGTTGCTTAAGACCATCGGAAAACACATATATAATTACATATTGTGTTTGTGATTAACCACTATGCTTTAATTATGTTCAATTTGTAACAATGAAATTGGGGGTCACCACAACATGAGGAACTGTATTAAAGGGTCGCGGCATTAGGAAGGTTGAGAACCACTGCTTTAGTGTCTGGTATGAGAGGGACCTGGGGATATGCCAGAGGCAGCTGGAGTGGAGGAGGGAGACCGCAGCTCTTTCCCAGCCAGGGGGAAGCCAGGGGGGAGCGTTCAATTAACCTAATAACAAAGCGCGCACCTGCATCTCAGTCCTGCTTTTGAGCCTCCCGTAGGTTCTGAAGACATTGACCTGGGAGCCATGAGGCCTGTGTTAGGACCCAACCTGGTGGGGGCAAGGTGGTCATGGATTCAAAGTCTAGAAACAGGACAAGATAAGAACCCCAGAGATGACCTCAGAATCACAGCGAGCTGCTGTCTCCACTAGGCCTCAGTGAGTCCGCAGGAGGCCAGACCAGTTCACCCGTCACCAGCCATCGCTGAAAGCCAGTGACTGGCTCAAGCCACCTAGATCCCAGCAGATGGCAGCTGCACCCAACCATGGAATCTTCCCACCCTGACCAGCCTTCATATTGGGAGGAGCCGGGGGAGGAGAGGAGGCATCTGAAAGACAGAGCAATTATACAGAGACCAAGTTTCTCCGAACTCAAGAAACCTCAAGAGAATATTTAAATTGTTGAATTAGACCAAGTTTTCAACTGGATTGAACTAAATTTAGCTCTGCACCCTGACCCCTCCCGCTCAGTTGCTCTACAGAGAGTGATGAAGCCAGGTTTTCTTTGCACAGTCTCAGATGTAGTTCGAGGGCATTTGTGACCTTGTTGCAGAGAAGATGGTGATGATTTCTGGGAGTGAGGAGTCAGACAGACTCAAGTTCAGACTCCAGCTCTGCCACGTACAGGCCACAGGCTGTGTGATCAGGGCAAGTCCCTTCCTGTGTCTGAGTTGGGTTTCTTCTCTGCAAAATGGGCTTGATGACAGCTCTTAATGGGGCAGCTGAGGGGTCAGATGAGATCATCTGGCACCTTGTAAGTGCCCAGTCAAAGAAATGCTACAACTGCTACCACTTCTACTGAGCAAGAGGAGCGCCACTAGCCTTCTTCTCCACGTAATTTCAGACTTATAGGAAATCTGTAAGAGTAGTCCAAAGAATCCCCATAGACCCTTCATCCAGTTTTTTCAAATACTGACAAATATTGGCCTGGCCAGCATGGCTCAGTGGTTGAGTGTTGACCTATGAATCAGGAGGTCACAGTTCAATTCCCGGTCAGGGCTCATGCCGGGCTTGCGGGCTCCATCTCCATTAGGGGGTGTGCAGGAAGCAGCTAATCAGTGATTCTCTCTCATCATTGATGTTTCTATCTCTCTCTTCTCCCTTCCTCTTTCTGAAGTCAATAAAAATATATATTAAAAAAAACCCACACAAAAAAACTAAAATTGACTTTCACCTTACCATTTCTCTCGCTCTTTTTTCTGCTTACTTTATTGTATGAATACAGTATATAATACATATAACATTTAAGAAAGTGTTAATTGACTGTTTAAGTTTTAGTAAGACTTCTGGTGAACAGTAGTCTATTAGTAGTTAAGTTTGGGGGAGTCAAAAGTTATATATGAATTTTTTACTGAAAATTTGACTGTGTATATATATATATTTAAAACTTACAAACTAGTGTGTATGTGTGTGTATGTATAATATATCCATATGGATATAGGTATCTATATATTTGATATAGATATATTATATATAGATACCTTTCTATGGACATATTTAATATGTATAATTTATATAAATCTATATGCACTTTTCACATGCATTGAGATTCTCCTGTTGGAGTAGAGATTAGCAGAGCTTCTCATTCTGCGATCAGATAGCTCCCATTGGGCTCACAAGAAAAGAACAAGGGAGTTAAAATGATGGCTATTGTAGGAGGTCAGGCACGATATGGTGACTCCTCACTCTCTCCCCACTTGGGTTGCTGTTGTTTTTTGTTTTTGGTTAATCTCACTGGAAGATATTTTTTCCATTGATTTTTTTTTTTTTTTGAGAGAGTGGAAGGGAGGAAGGAAGAGGGAGAGACAGAGAAACATCAGTGTGAAAGAGACACATCAATTGGTTGCCTCCTGCATGCTCGGATCCAACCTGAAACCCAGGTACATGCCCTTGGCAGGATTCAAACCCGAGACTCCACCGAGCTGGCGGGGGGTGGGGGTGGGTGGGGGCGCACAGCATTCCAACCACTGGGCGCACCAGCTAGGGTCCCACTTGGGGTTTTGATGGCAGAGTGTTGAGTGGAATTGTTCATTTTACCAGCATTACCAGTACATTTATGTTGGAGAGCCAGGTGACAATCACATATGGCTCAAATTACCCTTGAAAGCCACTCAGAAATGTGCCTTTACGGAGACTGACAAACACAGCAAGTTTTTCTCAATCAATGGAACACATTAAAGCAAAGGAACTGATTGGTTATGTTTAGGGGCCATTTTTATGAAAAATAAATATCTCTCCACAGTGGGATCCCACAATGCAGTGTGACGCCTTCATTGCCAGGTGCTTTGGCTGTAACTGAAACCGAGGCAATTCTCATCTCCACTCAGGCACTGGCTCAAGGAGGGATTCCTTTGGCTTCTTTGGACGGTGATTGCTCATATTTGCAATATATACATATATATCTCTCCAACAAAGGACTCATTTCCAGAATGTATGAAGAACTCATAATCAGTCAGAAAAAGCTCAATAATAGAGTGGGCAAATATTTGATCAGACATTTTACAAAAGGAGGTATGTGAGTAGCAAATAAGCCCATGAAAAGATTATCAAAATCATTAGTCTTCAGGGGAGAGCAAATTAAAACCACAATGGGATACCACTACACACCTACCAGAATGATTAAAACAACAGCAAGGCTGACCATGGCAAGTCCTGGTGAGGATATGGAGCAGCTGGAATGCAAATACATTGCGATGGGGATGTAACATGGACAACCACTTTGGAAAAACAGTTGCAGAGTTACTTATGAAATTAAATAGAAATATGCACATATAAATATTTCTCTATTAATGCTTATAGCAGCTTTATTTATAATGTCCCATAACTGGAAACAACTCAAAGGTCCAATAAGTAAATGGATACATTGAGTTTCATGCATATGGTACAATCCCATTCAATAAACAACAATAACAATTTACTGACACACATAACATGAATTGATCTAAAAAGCATTATGTTAAGGCAAAGAAGTCAAATACAAAGGTGTACACACTAAATGACTCCATTTATATGAAGTTTAAGAAAGTCAAAACTACCCTGGCTGGTGCGCCCAGTGGTTAGAGCGTTGGCCTGCGCCCCAAAGAGTTGGGGTTCGATTCCTGATTCGATCCCCTGGTAGGTATATGGATGTTTCTCTCTCCCCTTCCCCTTCCTCCTTTCTTCTCTCTCTAAAAATCAATGGAGAACATATCCTCAGGTGAGAATTAACAAACAACAACAAAATAGAAAGGCAAAATTAAGGACTTAAAAAGTGAGAAAAAATTTTCAAAAAACCTCTGAAAACCTTATTTCTCTCTCTGTGTGTATGAGCACATGTGGTTGTATTTGGGCAAGTGACCTGTGCTTGTGATGCAGCTGCTCTTGTCTCAGAAAGAAGAGACAATCCAGGAAGGGAACGCTGCTAATGGCTCGATCAAAGGAGAGATACTGCCCTCTAGGGGTTGTTTTGGGAATTTGCTGGTGGCATTTTTTTTTTTTTTTAATCATTAAAATTAATGGGGCCGCTACTGGAATTTAGTAGGTTGGGGACTCAGGATAATTCTCTGGCCTAGAATCAAAGGCTGTTTTGTATTATCAAGGGATGCTTATACTTTGTTCTAGTCAGGACTTTGCCCAAAATGTTCACCATTTTGGAAAGTCAGGACACAGACAGCAAATGCTTTGGGTAGTATTTGAGCTGTACGCACAGCACACCCTTTTATGCCTGCGTTTGTAGCTGTTACACTCATGCTGTGTATGGTACAAGATCTGACTATTTCATTAGGTCTTAAAATGTCAGAATACATATTATTATAAAAGTTTCTCCTCCTTTATATTATAGTTAGCTCTTAATTTGATTTTTCTTGAAATTATGTGAGTAGATAGGTTATAATACTTATGAATATAGTAAAAAAACACCTCACTCAAGGATATTTTTCCATTGATTTTCAGAGAGAATGTAAGGGAGGGAGGAGGAGGAGAGACAGAGAGAGAGAAACATCGATGTGAGAGAGACACATCCATGGGTTGCCTCTCGCATGCACCCCTACCTACCAGGTCTGGGGAACCTGCAATTGAGGTACGTGCTCTTGACCAGGAATCGAACCTGACACCCTTTGGTCCGTGGGCCAATGCCACCGAGTCAAACTGGCCAGGTCAAATATTTATGAACCTGCCCTAACCGGTTTGGCTCAGTGGATAGAGCGTCAGCCTGCGGACTCAAGGGTCCCAGGTTTGATTCCGGTCAGGGGCATGTGCCTTGGTTGCAGGCACAACCCCAGTGGGGAGTGTGTGAGAGGCAGCTGATCGATGTTTCTCTCTCATCGATGTTTCCAACTCTCTATCCCTTTCCCTTCCTCTCTGTAAAAAATCAATAAAATATATTTAAAAAAATAAAAAAAATTTATGAATCTTATTTTAAGGAAAAAAAGGGGGCATTGCAAAATATTTATTATGAAAAGGAAGCATTTCGTCCAATAGGACCCCCAGTGAAAATCAAGCTCTCACCAACAGATTAGCGGGACCTCACGAGGAGATGGAGAGGGGAGCTGTCCCCTTCCTCAGATTTCCACCAAGAAGGCCCACGTTTTATTGACGTTCATTTCCCTCTAAGCACAGGGGCTCAGGGGCTCATGAGGCGAGGAGCGACATATTCTTTCCTATAGAAGTTCATTGCAAAGATACACGGAAAAGTGAGTACATGGGACACTGTGCAGGTCCCTCCCACTTACACTCTTCTAGCCCTGCAAGCAGCCCTGGATGAAATGCCAGGTATATGCAGACCAGGAAGCCACTCTCCTCTATGCCCCAGATGCAGTTGATTGGACAAGAAGTGGGCACTTCCCCAAATCAAGCTAATTTCATAGCCTGGCCAGCAACCCACACACGAGATGGGTTGGTAAAAAATGTTGAACGGGATCAATCAGATTCTGTTACAAGGGTTTGCATTGGGAACTATAGGGAATAAAGTAGTTCATAATTGGAGTTGCAGCTGAAAAGTTGCCTTAATAAAAGTCAAGAGTGCTGTGGGCCGAAACCGGTTTGACTCAGTGGATAGAGTGTCGGCCTGCGGACTGAAAGGTCCCAGGTTCAATTCCGGTACCTGGGTTGCGGGCACATCCCCAGTGGGAGATGTGCAGGAGGCAGCTGATCGATGTTTCTAACTCTCTATCCCTCTCCCTCTCCCTTCCTCTCTGTAAAAAATCAATAAAATATATTAAAAAAAAAGAGTGCTGTGGGTTGTGGGAGGAAGGGTGGAGGAAAGCATAATTTGAGGAAGCAGAAGCAATGAGTAAATAGAAGCAATTGGAGGTAAGGCAGACAGTCCTCTACTTTAATACCTAATGTAGTAAATGTTTAAACCCAAACATCGGTGTTGTGGGGTCTGCCTCATCTTGGATCTCCCTCTGACACACCAGGCTTTAGCCACCTGTCATTCTTTCCGTCTCTGGAACAAGCCCCTCGCCTCCTAAAAGGCCTATGCACATGCTATCTACCTGGAATATTCTGCAAACTCCCTCTCAACTCTTTGCAAATGAGTTCTCATCCTGCAGATCCCAGGTCAAATGCCACCTCCTCAGAGAGAGGGTTACCCTGACAGCGCTCTCATAATCCCCCGCCCCCCGTTCTCAATTATTATACTCTTCATAGCCTTTCCATCGTATGTGATTGTAAGTATTTCTTTTGTTATTTTTATTTATTTTTTTTAAAAAATATATTTTTTATTTCAGAGAGGAAGGGAGATGGAGAGAGAGATAGAAACATCAATGATGAGAGAGTATCATTGATTGTCTGCCTCCTGTGCACGCCTTACTGGGGATCGAGCCGGCAACCTGGGCATGTGTCCTTGACTGGAATTGAACCCAGGACCCTACAGTCTGCAGGCCAATACTCTATCTACTGAGCTAAACTGGCTAGGGCTGTTATTTTTATTTTTATTGATTTCAGAGAGGAAGGGAGAGGGAAAGAGAGATAGAAACATCAATGATGAGAGAGAATCATTGGGGATTCTCTACTGGGGATTGAGCCAGCAACCTGGGCATATGTCCTTACCTGGAATGGAACTGTGATCTCCAGGTTCATGGGTCAACACTCAGCCACGGAGCCACGCTGGTTGGACTGAAATTATTTCTTGCTTAATGCTTTTCCCTCCAAATTTGTAGACTCCCCACAATGGCAAAGCCCATGTTTGTTTTATTTAATATTGTATAACTAGAGACTAGCATGGTGCCTGTCAAATAGCTGATCGACAGATATTTGCATATGACAAAATGAACAAATGAATATGTTTTTCAGGATTATGGTGCAATAGATCTAAGACATGGTAAAAAATTTCTCAGCTTCACAATAGTCATGCATTGATTACGGATGGGGATATGTTCTGAGAAATGTATTGTTAGATGATTTCATCATTGTGCAATCATTATAGAGTGCATTTATGGTTAGAACATATGGTACATTGAACTCTCTAGGAAACTGCCCAATTGTTTCCAAGTGGTGGCACTGTTTCACATTCCCACCAGCAGCATCTGGGAGTTCCAGTTGACAATACTTGTTCCTTGTCAACAATTGCTATGGTCAATTGCTTTAACTTTAGACATTCTGATATGTGTGCAGTAATATTGTATTGTAATTTTAATCTGCATTTCTCCAATATTTATAAATTTTCATGTTTTTATTTGTCACATACATAGCTTTTTTGGTGAAGTGTCAGTTCAACTCTTTGCTTATTTTGTTACTGGGTTGTTTGCCTTTTTTTTTTTTAAATTGAATCTGGAGAGTTCTTTACATATTTTGGAAAAAAAATCCTGTACAAGACGTGCAATTTTCAAATATTTTCTTTTCTAGGATTTTTTGACTGATTTAGCTTTTTCATTATTTTTTCTGGTCTTACAATTCTTTTTTTTAAAAAATATATTTTATTGATATTTTACAGAGAGGAAGGGAGATGGACAGAGAGCTAGAAACATCAATGAGAGAGAAACATCGATCAGCTGCCTCCTACACATCTCCTACTGGGGATGTGCCTGCAACCAAGGTACATGCCCCCTACCGGAATCGAACCCGGGACCCTTCAGTCCACAGGCCGATGCTCTATCCACTGAGCCAAACTGGTTTCGGCCAGTCTTACAATTCTTAAGGCATTTCATGTTCATAGCTTTTATCTCTCTTTTTTAAAAAGCTTGATTTTTATATATTGAGAAGACAAAAATACTAAAAAATATAAAAGTATAAAAACAATGATAACAAATATCTCTATTTCTATCATCCTGATTAAAAAAATAGAATATCAGCATTACTTCTTTCAATTCCTATATTCTTAGAGTTAGCCATTAACTTACATTTGTGCTTTATTAATAGTTTTGTCATCTATGTCTATGTCTCTAACAAAATATTTGTTTATATGTGCACAATTTTGATTAAATTCTGGGGGAAATATTTTTAAAGAAAGAGTTTGGTTGGAATGTAATTGAATCTAGGAAACAATTGGTATAGAATTGACATCTCTAAGATATTGAGTCTTCTAATTCATGAACATGGTATATCTCTCTATTAATTTAGGCTTTCTATAAGGGCTTCTAATTTCTGCATAAAAATTTTGAACATCTTTTGTTTGAAATATTTTTAAAATATATTTTATTGATTTTTTACAGAGAGGGAGGGAGAGAGACAGAGAGTTAGAAACATCGATGAGAGAGAAACGTCGATCAGCTGCCTCCTGCACACCCCCCACTGGGGATGTGCCCGCAACCCAGGTACATGCCCCTGACCGGAATCGAACCTGGGACCCTTCAGTCCGCAGGTCGACGCTCTATCCACCGAGCCAAACTGGTTTCGGCATTGTTTGAAATATTAACAGGTATTGTGATGTAGGGTAGGGGCAAGGTAGAGTGACAGGCTAACACAGGAATCAGCCAGAGGTGTTTATTGATAGAATTCAGGAATCTTTGGGGATCAGACTCAGAATAGCTTCATCTGTGTTTTTATGGCTTTAGGCTTCAGAGAACTCAAAATAACCAGGGATGTTGTTTTGGGTGATACTTGGGCTTCACACAGCACGGTTTACTATTTGTGCAGTAAACATAGATCCTTTCCTTTTTGAAGCATGTGTGGCGGCATTTGCCAAGAAGATTCCAGCATTTTTGGGTG